CTGCATATATGGTGTATGTACAGAAATGTGAACATAGGCGCTGTAAAAAATAGATAGTAATGTTATAAACTAATTTCATGAAAGAGGTATAAATGTATATATACATAGTACATACAAACATTACACACACATATTGTATAGACATTATATATATTAAGCAACTTAATGTATTTATTTTGGTATAAAAACATTAAAATACAACATGTAGCTAAAAGGCTAAAATTATTGCACATACAAAACTATTAAATAGAATTAATTATATAAAAATATTATTACAATAATTATTGCATAGAAGTTGACAGAAGATAAATATAGAAATATCTAAACATCTAAAATTTATACAATATTCAAAAAAACCTTTATATTTAAAAAACCTTTATAGTAGAAAAATATAAAAATATATGAATATAAAATATAAAAATATAATTTATATACAGCTGTACACTAAGCTGCCACCTTCAATATTTTGAAGATTCGGCAGCTGTTTTTTTAAATATTATTTTGTGTGTGTTATATATAAAATATTAAAGGTCTATCGGTCTTTTCTCTCCAATGCTATCATGTTATGTAAAAAATGAATATTTCAGGTCATTAGTAGAATAAAAGGAATAAAGACACTGGAATTTATTTTATGTCTTTGAGCTTCATATAGATTGTTATTGAGGCCACGTCGGTACTTCAAAAAGCATCAGAACGCCAAGGTGAATGTAATCGAGAACAGATTTTGTGAGACGATGCACACTTGTGACACTAGCACGTTTTAATTTAAGTCTGCATGCATTTGTAACCTCATTTTTCTGATGTGCCTCTAAAAAAAATTCTCTGACGAGCAAAATTGCTGTGTTGAGTTTTGCGTGCGTACGTAATGTATTTTTGAATAATATATAATTATTGGTTATTCTTCTTGATGAAATAGCTTTTGGCACAAGCTTTCACTTCGCTTCATGCAGGTAGATGTAGAATATATTTTTTTAACTACAGTAGTTTGATATTTATTAATATTTACTAGTGTACAAAATTCTAGAAGTGAAGCCGTGGTGGGATCCAGTGGCCCATACAGCCTAATGCTGTGCTGAGATGTTTTAGAACATTTTAGTCCCCCAATTTTTTTATTAAAAAGAAATTTTTGTTTTTGTCCGACAACCATGTCCAAAAGGACTTGAACCCTTCTATTGTCCTCCCAGCTGGCACCCACTACTACAGGAGTATGTGATTGGCACTGTTCATGACTGGGCCAGTAGTTTCTACCAATGGGCAAGCCAATTGGTTCAACTGCCATGCACCACATGTACTAAAATTGCCTTAAACTCTTAAAAAATGATATTGTTCTGACTGTTTGGAATAAAGGACTTTTAAAAAAGATTTTAAAATAAAACTTAAAAGTAGACAAAGAAAATTATATTGTTCTGAGTATATATACCTTTAAAAAATTTTAAAAACAACAATAATCTTCACATGGAATATGTGGAATGTTTAACGGAAGGTCATTCCAGGGTTACGGTGGCAGCGAAAGAGAATATTCTCATGCGAAATGTGTTGGTAAATGTTTTTGGAACGTGCAATTAGCAATTTGTATGATGAACCGAGTTCAGTAATGTAAGAGGGTGACAAATCAATGAGACACTTGAAAGTCAGTAAATGGATTGCCATTAACGTTGTAGGAGGGTTTACTGACAAAGTGCTCAGAATGGGGGTAATGTGCAGTTTTTCAGTTTTGTAGTATGGTTATTAGCCTGATAGCAGTAAATTTTAAAAATTGTTCATGCTATTTGCTCCTGCCTCTTCTCACTGGAAAAAGGGTTTACCCTTGATTAAAAACTTGCTGAGTGTAGAAAATATACTCAAGCAGTGAAAAATCACGTCTCCAGCTTGTGCTCCCCAGCTTCCATTTTTACCTCCCCACCCCCTGTCATCATCCCCTAATCAGCCCCTAATATGTCAGTAATCTTGGATATGCAACCGACTATGATGAAACACCCTCACTGCATTATGTTAATCTATTTCTGTAGTCAGCATCTGTCTAACAGTATATTCAGCATTAAAACAGGCTCAGATTAAAATGCCGGGTGACGGCATTGTAATTTTAATGATCAGTATTTTACCTATAATTAGTCATTCTTTTCATTTTCCTGTATTCATACAGACCAACTACAGGTATAATGTGTTTGCACACTGAGATAGAATCCCCATGCTTTTATTCTGTTAATTGTAATACTAAAGTTCATTATTACATAAACAGAGCCTTGAGGCACAACAGACGAATGGCTGAGATGTCTCATTCCAAGCAGCTGCAATACAACATTAACAGCCGGATGGGAGAAAAAGCAATAATCATTTTTTTTTCCATCAGTTTCTTCAATTAGAAATATTAAAAATTCTTGCCTAATATTTGTCATGCACTGCAAATGAGTATTGCTTATTTCCAGACAGAAAAGATTTGTAGCATTATTACCACAATATGGTTGTTTATCTCTATATTTTACCATGATTTTTTAGGAAAAGGATCTTTTTGTTGTTCAAAATGCTTATGAGTAGGGTATATCATGTTGATTTCTGTTATTTGCAATTCATTGAGAACTAGCACTGTCCCAACCATGTGCAAGAGTGTCAAAATTCAGTTGCTTCTAATTGCATTAAATTCTAAATGAAGCCTCACTTCCCAATGTTGTACAGTTGTAGTTGTACAGACAGCATGAAGTAACTTGATTGCAGGGAAAACATTTTTTTTCACACTCAGATTCATCATCTTACAATACACAATATTTGTACCGGTTTTTTTAAAATTATTATTTATTTATTACGGTATTACAAAACAATATCTGAGAGCTAAATTTGCTTTTTTGTATTACAAAATAGAACAATATAATATAAATGTAACAATAGAAAAATACACATCAAATTTACAGTGAAAAACAATGAAGTATATGCCTATCATATACAGTCAATTGTGCTCAGTCTTCTGAAACTGTTATTTTAATGTTATTTGGCCTACTATAATTACTAAATCTCCAGTGCTTTTGACATGAATCACTCTGAAACAGAATATTGATTTAGAATAGACCAGATCAAGCAACGAACTAAAGAGACGCGTCTGCTAGCACAACAGAGTCAGACATTCTGTGAAGTTGAATGGAACATGGTCGCTTATTATGACACCCAATTATTCGCAGGTTGTACATGAGAATCAATTAAGCAGGTGTGATAAATCTGACATTTCAAAAAGATCGTTAAACAACGTTAAAATTATACAAATGTGAGCAGGCCAACATTATCCGTAGTGATTCAACTGTTTACGGTAATACCAGTGGGAAATACAGTGATATACATTGGTATTAAGAGAAAGGTGGAGATTACAGTTAACAGCATTGTAAGCAAAAGGGAAAGACATTGCAGTGGAATTGCTATTAAACGAAAGAGTTTGAGAATGAATATCAGACACGGATCCAAAGCTTTGCACCCAATCATCATGACACGTCTGATCAGGGTGAAAGATAGATTTTTAATGTTGTAATATATAGTATAATATCTTTCTTAAAACCCTCAGATTATCAAGTGTTGAAGGGATTCACCTCCGTGGACCCTGCACAGAGTCATCTGCTGGTTTTAGCCTGAAGGGGAAGGGTATGAAAATTTAGAATGCGGAACTATCCCTACTACAATGAAAAAGAACGTTAAGAAAATTAATATCAAACTACTTTAACCATTAGGCCTATCTAATGATTAACCAAAAAATATTAAAAAATGAGAACCAGTATGGAACGAGAAGTATGCGATTGTTAATATTACATAGTCCACGTACTAAATATATCTTTTTAATGTTCCTTGGATCATTCAAAAGAAAATTAAACAGATAAATTAACTTTACCTCTGTAACAGAAACCGTCCAGAGGCGAAATTCTGAGGACATCAATATGTTTCTTTTTTTCTAACTTAATGTTCAGATATCTTTTATTACCTCGTTTCCGGTCAATTTGTCTCCTTTACGTAAAATATTTGTTGCCATGTTTTTTTTCTTGCAAAACTACAGTTAAGCGAGTGACATTAGCGAACACATAATGTTTCATTTTCCAATCTTAGCATGTTATTACGACTTGCATCGTAAACTCTAGCGTTGTTTGTAACATATGTTGTATCCATTGTTGAGCTCATTGTTATAAACTTGCGCTATATAGCACTAGAATTCCTTCATTTAAATTATTTTTCAACGCTCCTGTTTTTTTTGTTTTTTTGTTTTTTTTTGGGCTCCTGCCTAATTTGTTTTTTATTCCCAGAATTTTGTGTTCCTTCTTAGGAAGAGTAGCTAGATTAGCTTACATGATATTATGTGTAATTTTCATATTTCTTGACTTGGGACTGTGTAACCCTTACAGTCCTTTCAACATAGTTACATATATATGCTCTCTCTCTGTTGAATGGGTTTTTTAACCTTTTTTAATATTCTGTCCATTCTTGTTCATATAGAGGTAATTAAAATTGAATACTGGCTCCTACAGTACCTTTCTGTTGCAAAATCCTGTAAGCTACAATTTATAAATCTTCCTTTTCTACTGCTTCCAAGTCTTATCTGTCAGACCCTTTCTTAATAGCCCTTTTATTCTTTGGAGGAATTATGTAAATTTTTATATGTTTTATATTAATTGAGTACCGAATTATGTGTTTTTCTTCCTAAATAAAATTCTGTGTTAATATGGAATATATATTAGTTCCATATTGCATTTTAATATTTAACTACTTGAATTTTAATCAATGAATTTTAGCCTGTTCTCTCTTAAGGCAAAGGTATTCGCTGCATAAAAATATATTTTGTTGCAAGAAATATTACTTGAGTCTGGATTGAATATTATAGCCTACAGCTATGAAAAATGCTATAGTTTGTATTATAGGTCTGTATATAAATTGAAATGGAGATGTTATATGCATTCCTCTCAAAAACATAACATTATGTTGGCTCTAAACAAAAATAGAAATTTAGAAATATGTTCATTTTTTTCTACTTTCAGATTATCTTCATCATCCTCCAGTTAGCTTCTGTAGCAGTAGAATGTTGCTGGCCATGTTAGCTTGTGTAATGGCCATGCTTTGCAAAGAACAAGGTTTAACGGTCATCGTAAGTCAATTTATAGTTATTTCCCTCGTGTTTACAAATCTAGTATGTGTACTGCATCACTGACATTAGGCATTGGAACGGTTTCAATAAGATTTGTACAAGCGCTATTAGAGTTGCTGCTCCACATGGTACTACATAATTGAAGTGACAGGAAAACTGTCAATGAGATTATTTACATTACAAAATGTGATTTGCCAGCATCCATTTATCCTTCTTGTGAAGTAAAATAAAATATGAAAACTGCAATAATAATGATGATGATGACGATGATGAAAACTAATGATACAAAATTATAATCAGACTCTACTAAGATATAAAGTTCTATAGTAGAAAGGTAACTTCAGTGCATTAAAATGTATAATGATGATGATGATGATGATGACAGTGTCGGCGATAATGGAGATAAGTAATACCAAAAGGTTGCCAGCAATAGTTTGTCTATATAGACTTGCATTAATGATAATACAAATGTTGCAAAATTTATATTTTTTGTAATTTTACCTTATTTTTTTCCTGTATATAATGACGTGAATAAATCCCAGGTGTTTTCATTAAACTATTTATAAATGTAATTTTTTTTTTATTGACAAAAGGGATTTTTTTCTTGGTTTCAGACGGTAGGCTATATTAAAAACTGACTGAGTTTCTTAAAAGATACCCTTTTAAAGTTTTTTTTTTCCCATTCTCTTTTCAGGGGCTATGCAGTGCCTATGATATAATTGTTTCATGCCAACTCACACCACGCAATATATTGAGGGCGCTATTTACACATCATGACTGTAGCAATATAAAAGACAAATTGTCTTCTAAATCACCTTGGATACAGTCACTAGTAAAGCGCCATCTGATTCTACTTATCTCAGGTATCGTTATGGTAACAGGCCGGTATTTTATTATGGGATCTCTGCCGACCTTTCAGCCAGTAGACAATCCGGCATCATTTGCTGAGAGTCTTATAGTTCGAGTAAGCATTTCAATATAATTTTTTTCTGCTTTTTTTAAAAAAAAAAACATTGTTAGAATTATTCCATTTCCTCTTGCAAGAAATTAAAGAATGAGTTGAATCTTAAAAGGTCATGTATGGGTTTAACAGAGGAGACGAAGAATCTATCACAGACAAGACAAATTATCTCTCTGAAGTCTTCTCTCTTAAAGCTGATAATGAATATTGAGCATGCTGCATCATCTAAATTTAGAATAGTAATCGGGACTCGCAAAGAAGCTACAACGGATGCATTAATACATTATTTTAAACGACCTTGTGATCTTAAATCAAGTTTGTAATTAACATCAAATGTCAGAGAAGACCTGGTAGAAAATGCCCTGCAGTGGCACTGTCCCTCTTCTGTTTAATCTCTGCATGGCCCTGTGCAATGCATCTTGATGATGAGAGAGTTAATAAGTTTCCTTTGAGACTAGGTGTTACGTGCTTTATCAGGTTTATTGCAGAAATCTTTATTGCTTGAGAAGGCTTTATGATTAGGTACATGGGTTTCTGATTGATTGGCATTAGGATGATGTCCCAAATGACATCTCTGTTCCATTAACTAATGATAGTATCATATCAACTGAAAATTGTATTGTCAATTTTTGACTGAACTTAAAACCTAATTGGTAACTTACATTCTACTTATATTAATTACCTGGCACTAAATCTTCCATGGAAGCAAATTAGTTCAACTAAGTGGGTTAAAATACTAAAAATGACCATTAATTTTCCATTGGAATTGAGATTTAGTTCAGTATTCGGGAATTTAGTTCCGCATTCTCATTTTTTGCACCCCTCTCCCCATTCTGAAACCTGTCTACTCCCTTGAAATGAGATCGTTTACCACTTTTATCATAACTGAGTTGCATAATATCCAGTTTCTGAAATTACAGATCATTTGCGCTTTCATGACATTGACACTCGCATTTTTGCTGATGATGTCATGTGTGCATCATTTCATCCAAGTTATAGTGACAGGCCATTGGAATTCGTAGGATTGATCCTTAGATTAGTTTACATAAATATATTCTCAGTTGTTTATTGGTATTGATATTGCGTCAGGTAGGGACAATCACATGAAACAAAATTGTGTACTCTTCCACGAGCGATAAGTTATATCATAGCAAATAATATTATATAAAGCAGAGTTACATTTTCTTAAAAGCTCTGATTTTTGTGCTGTTTTCTTTTTATTCGTTTTCTTAAATGTTTTAGGATATTTCATGGTTTCTTTTTGTTAATCTAAAGCACATACAAGCAATTTCTTGTATTATGCGCTATATAACACTTACTATAATATGGTTCAGTATATTATTATATATTAATCTTTTAAAATGTTTGTTGTAAGTGGGGATCAAAGGATTTAAATACCATATATATTTACATAACTGATTCATGTATTTCGCGTTCAGAATAATATACTTCCACTTTTGTTTTGTCGAGGATGATTTCCGCGAAAGAAATGTAAGTAAGATTACCGAAGGATTGCGATCTTCTCATTGAACGTTCATTCCCATATTTCACCATTACTTATTCAAATCAGGTAGCTGTCTATTTTGAAGTTTGCCTCGAGGCAAGGCATTACTGATTCATTTCAATTTAAACTCTCCTGAATTAAATGTTAACACTTTAAAACACTAATTGTATTACCATTAATTGGAGAAGGTATGGAATCACTAATATATATAGTTGTCATTGAACAAGTCTGTGGATTAGCTTGTCTGTTTACTATGCTTAGCATACGCCTGTTTATTGTTCGATTTTGTAAATTATACATTACATTATATTCATCTCTTTATTGCTAGAATGTCAAGGGTAATTGCATATGAAGGGCATATGCCTTTTAAGTTGATTGTGTAAGCGCATTTTTAGCTGCCAAACATTAAAACCACCAAGTGTGAATATTAATGATCTTTTTTTTTTTTCATTTCACAGATAACAAATTATAACTACATCTACTCAATTAATGGTTGGTTGCTTATGCAGCCTAGCTGGTTGTGTTTTGACTGGGCAATGGGCTGTATAAGCCTCATACAGACTGCATCAGATCCTCGTCTCCTGGCTGTCTTGGTGTTCTGGTTCAGTCTAGGAATGATTTTATACAAAGTGATAGTCAGTCCTCCAAGCCAGAATCAAAGGTATAGTACTGAATACAAATCACCAGATTATGATAATAGACATTTTGTGAAGAACGCTTTTGTAAATTTAAGCACCACACTGATGCATGCATCGTATAATAAACAGAAAATATTTTTACAGACACATCTAATTTAATTTTTTTTTAAATCAAAAGGAACTCAAAATCTTTTACATCAACATTGCATATGAACTATGAATAGCCATATTAGTAGGCCTCAGCAAATGTAATAATGTAAAATATAGTGGAAGTAAAAAATTACAATAATAACAGAGCAGTCACTCCATGGAGTGTATACCTCCACCCTGTCTCTTAGGACGAAACAATACACAGGCTATGTATGGGCGATTCCGCTGGTCTTTTCCTCCTAAAATGTAATCGTATCTTTCTTGGATTATTATGTGTCATTCCACTAAATTTGGTGATTGATTATGTGTTTGTTAGTTTTTGCGTGATCTTGCTACAGACAGACAACGGTGAATACATAACCTGGTGGCGGTAATAATAGTGATAATAATAAAATTATGAAAAATTAAAGTAAATGCAACAGGTAGCAAATAATCCCTACAAGCACAATATAATCAGGTAATTCAGCTATTCACAACTAGAATTGCACCCTGCAAACAAATGCCAATGCCAAAGAGGTCTGTGCACATGGGAAGTGATCACAAGTTTGTTTATGATGGTCGTTGAAATTTATAATCTGGGATTGAGGTTTGTATACTAGTTCAATTAAAAATACAACCGTCTTTGTACTGTGTGTTAAACTAAACACTAAAAACTACAAGGTGCAAGGTAAAATTATTTGTGAATGTGCCCAATGTGTAAAACATGAAATTTGGTTTCCAGTGATTTAAGAAACGGAGAATAATTATTACTTTGCTACTCAAAATAAACGAAAACCTACAGATAAAAATTGCAAGGCATCTTACATAAAAAGAAGATGTAGATTATATAAATTTAGATTATTTAAAAGTGAATCAAATGGAAAGAATATTCACAAAAAAATAGTCTACAGCAGTTGAATTTCACATATTTTATAAATGAACCAATTATTTTTAGTCTTACAATAAGCCTATATATCAACACTTGAAATAAAATATTCTTCTTCTCATGTGAAATTCATATTTATATTCATATTTATATTGTGTGCTTTATGCATTTCACATAAAACAGGAACAAATTGCATTTTAATATTAAAAGATAGAAAAATGATTCCAAATTCACACATTGAAGGTCATCCTCATTGCAAATGTGTGGCTGTTATACGAATGTGTTAAAAAATGGAATATGAATTTAAGTGAGGTTGGCTGGTAAATATTTCTTAAAATGAAGTAGGCCATCTTCGATGGTGAAATGAAATATGTTTTTTAATCAATTACATAATTGAATTAAACATTTAGATTGATTGAGGTTGTTCACAATTATCAACATTTTCACAAGTGTACAAACAGTACGCTAGGGGCAAGAGGTAGACGATTGGATTGGATTGAATTTATTCGGTGTAAACACCAAGGAGCCCACAATTTTTTTTTTTGATATAGTAAATACCCTGAACAATGCATAATTTCATACCCCGGATGCGAGACTGAAAAAGTTATTTTATTTGGCCATAGTTGTTACGTTATCAACTTCTGAGTGAAACCAAGATCAAAACAAGTATGATTCAATTTTTTTTTATGCCAGTTTGTCTATACCAAGAATAGAGAAACCGTGTTATTGGAAAAAGAAAATATTTCGTTGTTTTAATTTTTAATGGAAAGCGTACTTAAAGAAGTAAGCAATTTAAGAATTAGATTTGATTTTTTTTTTTTTTTTTTTAATTTAGCATATCATCCATAATTTTTCTCTATTATTTGTTGAAGCATACCTGGTGAGAAAATCACAATGAAAAAATTACGATTTAAAAAAAAAATTTTTTGAGCAAACAAGAATCCATAATCATAAATATACCATGTATAATATTATGTCATCATGCAATTTACAGGACGGAGTATAGTTAACCTTGAAATAATTTGATACGCTAGATAGCACAATGCTATCTAGGTAAAGTGGGGAACACATGTAATTGTCATTTTAAAAAAAAAACAGAAATAAAAATTTGAGTAAAATGTTCATAAAATTAGTTATCACCTTTTTAGTGTGTTTTTAACATAATGTTGTTTCAAAATGCAACATTTGCAGTTATGTTGAAAAATTAGAAATTATACTTAGTAATTTCAGTGTAATATTCCTTAGTTCAAAATTGACGTCTTTTTTTTATTGCAAGTGTTGGTCAAATAAATAAAATGATTCCTCTACACAGACAGTATATATCTTCAGGAACATAAATGCTGTGACTATTCATCAATAAATTGTTGAAGACTAGAGTCATTCAACAGATACTGTTATAAAGTTTAAGTTTATGATTTATAGAAAGACTTTTTCCAAACGTTAAACTTAAGTTTAAAAGTACCTATGGGAATAGAAAACTTATTCATTGCAATTAAGTACAAGGACATTTTTAACTAAATTCAGCTATGGAGATATCATTTTATACCACTATGATTCAACATTTTTCTACAATATTTGAATGATAAACTTTAATAGTGTAAATGCAAACTGATTGTTTAATGGTACATTTTCAACGAATCTGAATTTTAGGATCCGGAAGCCTACAGAAGCTATCAGGAAATCGTATCCATTCTTGAGTGTCAGTCAAATCCAACAATCGACAAATCATAATGTGTTATTCAATAGTCAGGGTCAGGGAAATATAAACATCATCACAGGGTGTGTTCGGGCAAGAACGGGAAAAGGCAGCCGTCAGTTGAAATAATTTATTTTATCGAGCTTTTCAGTTTTGTTTTTGGAAATAAAGTGTAAAAAAAGCAGGGACCATGAAAATTTAAACAAATTTTACTTTTGTTGTGTGTTGAAACAATCAAAGGGGATTAAGTGATAAAAAATACTCCTGCTTCTGACGCATGCTGTTTTTGCTCCTCCAATGCAATGCAATTTGCAGCATTAGATTATCAGTGGATATCAGCAGGCAGTCCGCGTTTAGAACTGGAAACGGCCGTTTCCGGATTTATCCTGTGTTTAAGACTCCACAAAGAACTCGCCAGAATGCACCCACAGATAATGAATTCATAGATGAAGCTGCACAATGATTTGAAACTTGTATAACACTTTTTTTTACATGGAGAAAATATAAATAAAAATTTATAAACTAATGTAAAATTGTGGGAGCTTAATATCCAGGGGATGAAAGTCCACATGATTGGCCCTTAACTTCACGTGCTACTGGATTTGAATCAAAGAATTTTAATTTTTGTTGCTGTAGTTTCTCAGCAAAGCCTACAACCCCCATCCCCTACTTTACGCCCAATTTTATGTACTGCCTTTCCTCGGATAAAAGCCCAGTGTGTTATCTGAATAAGTAGCTTATGCCGACTTTTACAAATACTACAATTGGTTTTAGTTTGGGCATGCAGTGCTGAAAAATTGCATTTTGAGTGAATAGCGGATTCCCCGGGTATAAAGGTAGATTCATACCGAATCCAAATTCGGTTTGTATGGCTCGAAACGAAAAAAGAAAATTGAATCAGTGGTAAAGAGTAGAGGCGCGTACCATTTTCGATGTGCGTCTTACAGTAGTATGCGCCTCTATTCTTTACCACTAAGATCACATCAAAAATGTTTTTCTAACCAAATTCGGATTAGTTGGGAATCTACTTTAAGCCCATCCCCAAAATTGACCCAAATTGTGTTTGAGCCGAGAGTGGGCTTATACCAGAAATTAATATTTTCAGGAACTGTTAATATTATGAATCTATATACAGTATATCCAGTCTGACTGTGATTTGTTCCATGTGGGATTAATAAGATATAACGATTGATTTGTCCCATCTTATATTAATGCTATTCAATGTATCTTTATTGGAATCAATTCCATATACACCAAAGTTGTCAGAGATTCACATCACTCTTATCAAGCTCTTATTACATCCAATAATTAAATTACATTGAATATCAATAGAGCCCTGATGTCAAGACTTGTTTTATTAATATGCGCATCGTGTAAATATATCAACAAACTATTTATCCTGAACTAACCGATGCACGTTATATAGATATCCATCAATGAATAACGTTGCGATTGTGTTATGGAAAAATGTCAACTGTGTTAAAATCCTCGCTGTTGATGATGTTAATTCAATGTGCAGTCATCCTCGGTTTCACTATACTCTCATCTATTCCAATATTGAAAGTGCTCGGAGATCTAATAAATTTATTCGCAGCAATAAATGGGATGCCGTCTCCTAAGTGGAACACATTCAGATGAATTATCTATGAGAAAACGAGCCTTTCTATGAACATTAAAATGCTAGTACGCTACACGGCATCGGTACTGGAAGTCAACTGTACCCGACATGTAATGTAGATCCTAGAAGATTAACATTGTTTATGATCCAACCTGGTTTCCTAAAGTGGAAAATTAATAAAACTTGTCGCTTGTGGCTGGCTTCATCCATATAGAGTTCTGATCATAATATGTTTAAGGTTTTAATTTTTGAGTATTGTTGACTTAAGAAAGAATCTTACAAAAGAGAAGAACATATATAACTAATAGATGATATTAAATTAATAATTTTAAATCATTTGAATGGACATGAAGCCTATGGAATGGAGACGTACTGCAGCCAAATGGAGTGGTGCTTTAATTGTTAATGGTGGCATGGAGCCGTTGCTGAAAAGTATTCTTAAGATCTTATAGACTTTCTAGTCACAGTGTTTAAATCCTATAAAATGGGCAAAACCATTTTCTAAAATCACTCATTCACTTAAACATAAACAATCTGCTTCAAGGTAATACACATGAACAGTAAAATTCAATTGCTTACTGTACTTTGTATTGAAGTAAGGTTTTGATTGAAAATTATGACAAAATGTTTCCTCGTAATAAGAGAGAGACATTAAGCAATGCCATTAGTATAGAGGCCTATATGAAGCAATCAAAACCCACATAATCTTAGGTCTGCCCCTTTTGAGTACTAAATCCATTTGGAAATATTTCTTCTGGAAAGCTTATATAAAAGCTGTAAATATGTTTTTCAGTATATTGTACTTGTTCCTCCTTGCATGACTCTTAAATTGGTTGGTATGAATATGGCGATTTGGATGGCCGAGAGGTTAGTGTAGGGGCGCCGCAACCTACAATCAAAATATTGCCACCCGTTTGAACAGAGCACACTCGCCTGTGGTTCTGGTGGTGGTACAAGTCTTCTCGGATAAGGACTATAAACTGCAGGCCCAGTGTACACAATTTGGCTCGTGCACTTAAAAGAACCCAGTACATCTTTTGAGACGAGTAGGGGGTTACCATATGGAAATTAATTAATTTTTTACAACATAATCCGCTTGGGCCATTACAAGAAAATCATAAATTTTGTACCTAAAACGTACTTTTGTGAAAAAAAATCCAGTTTTCTCCAATGGTTAAGGCGACCTTGGAGAGCAAATGATATGTTTCCATATGCCCGGTGTACTGGTCCATACAGCCCCTTTTGTGGACAGACGATATAGTAGCTGGTACCGATTTTACCGGGTAGCTCAGGCACGAAGAGACCTTTAGGGGAGAACGTTACTGTACGAGCTAGTCCACACTTCAAGCACTTTGAGACTCCAGTATAAATCAAGCTACATTACATTACATAAGGATTTTATAACGAAAAGTCAATTCATGAATTCATGCATTTAAATTTAAAACATTTCATAAACCGAAAGGTCCACTGATTAATCTTAGATAAGGAAATGTAATACATGCTCCAAGTATTGAAATACGTGCTATCGTGTTCGGCGATTCAGTATTTTTGAAAATGTCATCATCAGGATCAATGATAATGATGACATAATTTATGTCAAAATATTGAATCCCAACATGATGGCATGTATTTCAGTTCTTGGAATACGCATATTATACTTTCTCTAAACATTTCATGTTTATACAATACAATATATTAAGAAGCATGTGCAAAAGATATGGATTTAAATGTGGATACTGTAGTCTTAATCCAACTGTGTATTAAATTTAGATATAAAATATATATAATATTAACTATATAAGTTCACATTCTGAAAACAGAAAATAATTTATATGATTAATTGGGTATTAACCTGTTGATTTATTGTTGGGTGGGGGAGGATTTATCTACTCAATAATGGCCTGTGGTAAAACTTAACCATTTTCCCATGACTTGCCTCATTTGCTGTTGATAAATGATATAAAGTACATAGCCTAGCATTTAGCTATTTGTAATGAAGAGTTGGAAACTTATAGGAATGCTTTGTGAAACTCATTTTCTTAATTTTATATTGCAGAGTATTAGCAATAGGTTTAGCTGCACTCATCATCCCATTCCTGCCAGCGAGCAATATTTTCTTCCGGGTCGGATTTGTGATAGCTGAGCGTGTCTTGTATCTGCCCAGCCTAGGTTTTGCCATCATTGTAACATTAGGGTTTAACTGTATCTGTACAGCAAAGCCAAAACTTCAAACGGTGAGTTTTGTAAATTAAATTGTATTGTTTGTGGGAATAGTTGTGGTTTTCGGCTCTCATGTTTGTCCCCCCTAGACTCAGGGTTTTATTTCTGAAAAATACATAGCCTCTGACCTAATTCTTTGCATTTAAAAAAAATAGTTAAAAAATATGATAAAAACAATTCTCAAAGTTTTTAAAATACATATATAGGCCTGCTGTAAGCCTGGCATTTCATACTTCACATTAAAAGAAACATTATCGATTTGTGTTGCTAAATTAATCTTTTTTATTTTGTAAGTGCAAACTTGATTTTTACCTGTTATGACGTAATCATACCTTTTCCATTTTCCCAGTCCTGGATGTATCTTCGTACGAAGTCTTTTGTTTTTATAACATAATGTTGTGTTGTTTCTTTCAAGTTGTGTGTGTGTTGTTTTAAATAACTTTTAAAATATTTATTGAGTGAGTGTTGAGATTCGTGGTTCACATCCTTTGCCTAAAATTAGTCTCAAATAACAAAAAATCTATCTCCACCTCGGAGTCGTGCCACTGCACTAGTAGGATGTGGTTTTGAATGTGTTGGTCATGATTAAGTGCACTTTACAACACTGTATTCCCCAAGAAGTAAGGGTAATCTGGTGAACAGAGGTAATGAAATGCGAGCAATTTGGTAATTGAAAGATAAACTAAATAGTTCAAAGATATACTACAGAACGCCAACCCATGGTGAACTTTATTTTGTGTTGAATATTAAACTATAATGTAGTGTGTGTGTATTATTGTGACAAGTTTTCAATTTCTACTTTACTGCAATCAATAAATAGAGAAACTAAAAAAAACCAAAAAAACTTTGCTTTATTAAATTGACCTATTATGCTTAATTTTTAATTTTTTTTGGTATTATTGTGCTATGTACAATTATTTTCCCCAAAACTTATCAATAGTATTATAGGCCTACTTTTTTTTTTTTTTCTTTTTTTTTTTTTTCTTTTAAATATGCTCCACCACACCCTTACTTATTGCTTTGGTTAACTGTTTGCTTTATTCAATCCACTGAAATGTTCACTATTTCAAATTCATGATTACAATATATATTGTACTTTTGTATGTGCATTTATAAAATTACATTTACATACATGGTTTTGAAAAATGATGAAAAACAATATATAAAAAACCATCCATTATTTATTTTCTTAAAAAATTTATTTCATCACATTGTGTTTTGTTTGAGACATTTAAAACGCATTATTAAGTGGCAAAACAAGATTGATTTAAGTCTAATCGAAAAGGAAAATGAATATCATTCCGAAAATGAACTATGCTGTAGTGTACTAAAACCCTTTCTGAGAAATTGCTTGGAAATCCATTACATTACCTAGATAGGAAAATGGTTTTCAAGTAGCAAGATACTAATAAACTACACTTAATCTATTAGATATTGATGTTAGCGTAATTTCCATCTATTCTCGAGTGTTTGATGTAGTCAATCACAATTTGTTTACATTTGTATTACTTATATCCTATACTGATGGTAAATGGTTAACAGTTTTTTTGAAGTGTGTGGTGCAGAAGACTTTGTTCTTTTAATCAAGAGTTCAAATGTCGGAGACCGATCAATGATGGTGACGTTGATTATGTCCTTTGGCAAATTGCTTTATCTATGTTTGCCTCTCTTTACAGTCCCAGAATGTATGCCTGCTTCGAGATGAATGCGTTGGAATGAATTTGTGCTAATTTATCTTGATGAGTATGAATCTTTGAATGAGTTGAGGAGACGGTTGCACATTCTTATTAATTTTGTATCCAATTTAATGGGAAAATGCATGGGCTTTGTCTGAAGGGAAGGTGGTATGACATAGATATGAAAATACTGTACTAAAATTAATGGTATAATTGATAAAGACATACAGAAGCACTCACACAAACTATAAATGCGTGTCCATAAACACATTTTAGGTTCAACATGTACTGTAATTTAGGTTTTACCGTAGATTACAACCCACAAGCGAATTCTTCTCTTTTATGTAATATTCTCTCTCAAAGCCAAATTACAGAAAGGCCGAAATTTGTCCAAGTGAAGTCCGTCTTTGACAGCATGATCTACCAGGAATTTTGGCATGTGGAATTACCGAATCCCTGCTCGGGGGAACAAATTCACTGTGGCTTTATGGCTCAAGTCAAATTCTGGCGGTTATAAAAATCCCAGAGATGCCGGCACTCAATTTGTCATTATTGTTAAGTTTAGGTTGTTGTTACTCTTTAAGAATGGTAAAATTTAAAAACGATTTCCAATTGTTTGTTTTTTGTAGGTTGTATTTATTGGAATTTCTTGTCTGCTTTGCTCCCACATTCTGCGGTGTGTCCAACGCAACCGTGACTGGCTGACAGAAGATTCTCTGTACTACTCTGGCTTAACTGTTTGTCCAAACAACGCCAAGGTCCATTATAACATTGCGAAAAGTGCTGCAGATAAAGGCAACATTGATGAGGCTATTCATAGGTATCGCACTGCTATTCAGCTTAGTCCTGGGTATGGACATGCTATGAATAACCTGGCAAATATTTTGAAAGACAGGGGGGAGAACACTGAGGCAGAAAAGCTGCTCAAGAACGCTGTAGCAATACGGTACATGTTTGCTTTCTCTTTTTAAAAAATTATGTATAATATTTGCCATATAAATAGTTTGACAGCCATCTTTGATAAAAATGTTATGGTATAATGTGACAAAAATAAGTTAGTACAAGATATTTTTAAAAGAGCATTATATAATTATTACATAAAAGAAATATAACTTTTTGTTATAAATACATATATCAATAAAAGATAATAATATACTGATTAATATACATTATAGATATTAGAAGCTATTAAAAAGCTGAAGCTATATCATACATGCTTGCTCTCTCACTTTGAAAAAAACTATATACTTGTTTACGGTGACAGCCTTCACAGATAAAAAAAAGTTTGTTATAAACAAGGTTTTTGTGAAATATCAAAATATTAGTACAGGAAAAAGTAACTTGTATATTGAGAATTTATAATAATATACTGATAAATTGAAAAGGTGGAAGTTTGGAAAAAAACAATTTTGTGTTCTTTGAAAGTTTGGACTTTTAATTAGAAACATCTAATATTTAAATCATAGCAGGCTTGATAATATAATCGAATTTCCTCTGCATCCAGGAAAGCATTTGATATGTAATCCCAAAAGGGAAGTAAATATTCTTGAATTATAATGGAGGCTTGTTACCTGTAAATATTGTTGTTGGTGATAACAGGTGTAAGTTGACTGTTTGATCTTGCAGGCCGGAGTTTGCAGCAGCCTGGATGAATCTTGGCATTCTACAGGCGGCCATGAAGAAATATGACCTAGCCGAGACTAGCTACCTGACAGCGTTGATGCACAGAAGAAAATACCCAGATTGTTACTTCAATTTGGGAAATCTGGTAAGAATTTGCTGTTTAAATATGCAAATTACTATGATTTATATGCAAATATTACGCAAATACTCATAAGCAAAATATACCCAAATGCTAGTGACTTAAATCTTAAGAACATCACCTGTAAAATATGCATATTAGTAGGTTTAATATGCAAATATTATGTAAAAGTTTGTATGATAAAAAATACCTAGATTGCTAATTCAAACTAAAATAAAAAGTTTTCAACAGTTAAATATGCAAATTATTAAATTTAATATACAAGCATCAGTAGTATGCACATGATTTAGGACTAACAAAAATATAATTCAGTACCAAGGAAATACACGGAGAAATTACAGTTTCTAAAGCCCTTTCTAGACCATAAAATTTTATTTGACAAAAAACTGTTGTATGCCTAAATATAGTCATCATGTGCCCATATATAGTCATCATGTGCCCATATATAGTCATCATGTGTCTATATAGTATGTTCATGATGTGTTGTCATGACCATATTTAGGCATATTTTTGTCAAATAAAATTTGAGTCTAGACAGGGCTTAATAATCAAATTGTAAATTATAATATGACAAAACTTTTTGAACACTTATAATTACAAGCCTAATTCTTTTTTTTTCAACATACAAATTATATAAAATTACTTCTGTAAACTTAAATCTAGGCCCATATGAAAATTCTAGGTCATGTGTAGAGATTCTAGGTCAAACAATATTATATATCTTGATTTATTATACATCTGACATAGAAAAATAGATAAAACTCACAATTATTGATCTCTTAAATCAATCACAACCAATAGTAAACATTTATTTCAAAAATAATAAAACAGGTGTAATAAATGATAATGTTTTTTATAATAAAAAACTAAGATATAAAAGCCATTAAATATTCCAAAACTATAAAAGTATTGCATGTCACATTTTCCTCGGGGAAGACAATTTTGGAATTACAGATTCTGCTTATTGTATTTTGAGTTTAAATCTAATGCAACAGTGAGTAAATTTCTAGTAACAAGATGAAATAAATTCTGTGATGCTCTTAAAACTAAGTCTCAATATGAGGCTTAGGGACTGGAGTTGTTCTTAGTTCTGAGGAAAGACATAAGTTTGAACCTTTGACCCTGAAATTAAGAGGCAAACGTCTTCATCCCAACTACATATGTATAGTAATTATATTGATACAATTATAGTTTATATGTTTCCATTGATTTAATTTGTTGGTGTTTGTTTTTTTGCTTCTAGTTCAAGTTTTCATTAGAACATATCAAGGATAATTAGTCTATTTCATTCATCAGCTATCAACTTCATTTACGATTGTGATTGAAAATTCTAAAATTGCTCTAGCAGTAGATGCCTTTAAAGGATTGCTCTTTATATTCGCTTTCATTACAGCACTGTTTCTTGTAGCAAACTCATGAATCTATTGAATAACATTCCCTCCAGCAACGTATAGGTTGATCCCCCAGGAAAATTATAACTTAACGATATATTTAAATTAATTTAATTAACAAAACCTTCTATCAAACTTTGAGTTTGATTTAAATATCCAATGCGATTTGATTTTTTCTTCTTTTTTTTTTGGCTACATCAAAGCTCTGTCCAGATCATCAAAATTTCTTTTGGCAGAAAAATTGTATGCCCATATATAGTCATGATGTGCCTATATATGGTCATGATGTGATGTCATCATGGCCATATTTAGGCATGTCACATGTTTTTGTCAAATAAATTTTGATAGTCTGTAATAGGGCATAAAACCAACAATTTTAAGAATACATTGTTTGCTAATCTATCACACAACTTAAGTACCACTAAATATTTCTACAGTACTGTATTTAATGGTGATACGGTTACAAGCATTCAATAGAATCTCATTCTTTAAAACAGTAATTTTGATTGGTTTATGCTGGTATGCTTAATTTGCATATTATTTAATTAATCTTGCTGTGGTGTAATTTTATTAACAAACTAAAGTTTGGTTGTGTGTTGGTGTGTTAAATAAATATTGCACTATGGCATATAAATAATTCAGATTTCAAATTATTTATTAATTACATTTTGTTGAATTTGTTTTATCTATTTGGCACGATAAAAAACAAATAAACCACAAAATCAGAATAAAATACATGCCTGTGTGCGAGTCGCAAAAGTGAGAAAACCAACTGTCACCAAAAAAACATGTGAAAATCAAGCAAGACAAGTAAAAATCAAGACAATTAAATTTCATAACATGAGGGATTAACTTGCCAATTTAATGAAGATTTTTAAATCAATTTAATGAAAAAAGGATTCCTCAATTTTTTTGTCTGGAAGACTGAAACTAAACATAATAATGTTTATTACAACAATGAATCTTTTGATGTACCTGATTTAATCAATAACTTGCTTACTTCCATATATTCTGATCATTTATTAATATTCACATTTATCAATCAATATCATATATTAATCTTTATATAAATCCATGTCATTTTGCATGATCTTTATCCCCCACCTCCTCATTGCTTGACCTTTGAACAGTTTCTCGACCTGCATCGTCACGATGATGCACTGCAAGCATGGTTAAATGCATCATCTCTGCAGCAAGATCATGCCCAGGCTTGGAGCAATACTATACTACTGCTTGACAACCTAGGTAAGAAAACATCCACCAAAATGCTATAGATTGGATTTACTTTGGGAACTGTCTTGTTTTGTGTTGTACGTAACTCTACTGTGTGTCCTATATTCTTGCTTGACAATCTAAAGGCAAAATAGGATCTGTTAAGTGCCTATGCTAAATCAGATCCACCTAGGGAACTGTCTTGAAAATGTCTGCTGTTCTTGCATCATTTACCATGTATTCTGCGTAGACTGACTTTAGATTTTCTTTACATATTTAGTCCTCACTTAGAGTATGCAAAAATCAAAACACCATCAAAACCTTTACCCAAAATGCATTGCAAATTGGATAATGGCAAACAATGCCTGCTTTTTATCCATTTTTTTCTATAATCCGTATTGCAATGCATTGTGGGTCTTATTTTAAAGTTCCTTGCGAAACGTCATTTGGATAAAGCCACAGCTGCTTGGCGGGAAGCCATACAACTGGAAGTTGATCACGTCGGAGCCTGGCGCAATATTGTGCTCCTTATGGAAGAGATTGGTAAGACCCTGAATGATGTTGATAATGATGTTGACATAATCATATATAGTCTTGATAACCAGCCTTGTAATGGTGATTATGATGGAGATGAGGGTGGTGATATAAATGATGATGATAATATTGATGATGATTATGCCAATGGTGGTGACAACAAATATGTTATAAATTATTTTAGTAAAGGACCTGCAAAAGATCGTTATCACATTTTCTTTGACAAAAAAAAAATGTTTAATGCCCATAAAGTCATGACGTGGCAAAGTTCGTGAGTAAATACCTATGAAGTTGCAGTTTGATAATAAATTATTATAAGAATTATATACTGCAAGAGAAACAACATCTCCTTTTCAGTAAAACCAATCATTTAGTTTGTGATGGACTATTTCCTTAATTCTAATTTTGCTAAATACATTACACAATGCATGATTGACAGATGTATAGAATGATAGGTAATTACACACCTGTCCAGGTGATACGTTCCAGGTGATATTGCTGAGAACTATTAAATGAGATTGTGTGCATAGCTAGACAACTAGAATTCCTCTGAGAGGCAAATTGGCAAGGTGTTACTTGTCATCATCAATTATTGATTTGTAATTTCAAACAGGAGGAAACTTGTATTATTATTATTGTTGTAACTATTCAACAGCAGTAGTTTTTTGTTTACATATAGGGTTTAGTGTATGAGCTGGCCAAATATATTGTTTTACTATAAATTTAGTAGAAAAATTATTAGTGAAACCATGGATGAGGTGAAAAAGAAAGCTTAATAGCCAAAACATAATTGTTAACAAAAAAGAAAAAAAAACAACCTAGTGAAATGCATTAAAATCTGAATTTAAGTCTTGGTAGTATCAAAAAATGTAATTTTCTTTTTTTTTATATCCATACTTTTAAACATTAGTTCCCATTATTTCACTGAGAAAAAGTCCAGTGTTTTATTACAAGCATTTTACATATAGTTTATAATGTATTTTTATATACCTTATATTATTTGTGTATGTGGGCATTTAGGGGCATGTTTGTGGGTATTTAAGGTCATGTTTGTGGGTATTTAAGGGCATGTTTGTGGGTGTTTAGGGGCATCTATAAGCAACCAGTGCCTTGGTATTCATGGTTTATTTATGAATGATGAGAACAAGATAGGACATTAGATATTTTTATTAAATATTAAATAATACTGTGCAGTATTTTATTATTTACTCTGATATGTTTTAAAATGTTTAAATTGACAGCAACTTAAATGATGAATTCTTATTATTTTATATTATTATTATTATTATTATTATTTTATTATTATTATTATTATTATTATTATTATTATTATTATTATTATTATTATTATTTTATTGTATTTTGCTCTTTATTTTGTAATTCATTGTAAAGTGGTTTAACCTTTTTTAAATCTATATATGAATAACAATGGTCCTCAGAAGACTTTCAAAAAGTATAATTAATAATTCATATACAACACTTTATGGTGATGTTTTATTTTTGTATATGTTAACCATACATTATAAAGAGTGGGTTGTTTTATGTCAATAATCTATGTTATAAGTGCAGTTAAGCCATACAAAAAAAACCCCAAAAAACAGCATTTTATCGTCTCTGCCCTCCTCTCTTTTAGGCCTCAGATTTTTAAACATTTTTAATGTAATCTTATTTTATTTTTCTTTACAAATTATATTCATACTTTCATATTTGATCATTTTCTATGATTACAATAATCTAGCACTCCAATTCTAGTGTGAAAACATTGTTGTAGGTTGTGGCTATTTTTAATTGTATGAAGACGTCGGTCATCTATAATTATAGTCGGTTTGCACCTTATCCTTAAGGGAAAAAATAAAAAGGGCCTCTCCTTTCCTGTTTTCAGAACATTTTTCTAAAACGGGAAAAAAAAAAAATTATATTCATATTTTAAGTTTGACAGTGCAATTTCCGGCCATCTAGAGGTGCCATAATCACAAATTTTCTTACCTCAGCCCCAACAATTGTGGGGCTGAGGTGGTATAGATCCTCCATCTGTGAATTACCTCGCCGGGCCCTCTCTATTTTGAATTCCTGGATCCGCCACTGACAACTGTTACTTTTGATAAGGCTTGTAAAGGTTGTTTTTTTTTTTAATTTTTTAATTTTTAGGCCAGTTTGACACTGCAGAGTCTGTGGCAGAGGAGGCTTTGAAGCACCTCCCTCAAGAGCCTTCAATCTATTTTGCACTGGCCAATGTTTATGGGAAGTCAGCTAAGTATGAGGTCAGTATCATATTATCATACAGTGCAACCTCCGATTCGAGACCCCTCTAAATCCGAGACCCCTCTAATTCGAGACCACTTTTCCAAAGAACCAAATTGCAATCTTCCATCTATTAAAACTAAGCTATAGACCGAACCCCATCACCACCAGAAGGATCCCTCTGGAAGTAAGTTGTCTTCTAGACTTTCGTGGGCTGTCCTTGGTGTCCTTTACACCAAATGAATCCAATCCATGGCAATCCAATCTACTAAATTGAGGGGTGCCAAACTGGAAGAAGTCACTCTCATTAGATCTGGTTAAATGAGCTTACTTCAACACATTAGAAAGCTCATTTACCAAGATTTAATGAGAGTGACTTCTTTCAGTTTGCACCCCTCAATTTAGGAGATCAAAAAAATGATTTTCAATGCATGGCGCTGTCTTCCATGAGACAATTGATGTGGTAAAAACATGCAAATATTATGAATTTGTGGAAGATGGTTTATTTTCCGGGAGATTCTTGCTTGCTTGCGGACGCAACTTCGAGGAAACTTGGGACCTCTACCTAAATTTATTGTTATTTATTACCTATTATTATTATTATTATTATTATTATTATTATCATTATTATTATTATTATTGGTATTATTATTGTTATTGTTATTATTATTATTATTATTCTTATGTTACCAAATGATCGATGACACAATATACCACTAATAAAATTCAAAAATATGACGATACATTTGAGAACGATCATGTCAGGCAATGCCTGAAACCTTTATTAGGCCTAGCCATTGCTAAACCTTACATTACACACAGATCCTACTGTCATCATCAGTGTACAGAGATTCCATATAGGCAATCTTATTTAAACGAAGCGAAGTTTGTGACACGTCAATCTACACGTAATTCAACGTATCAGGTTGTGAACACTAAGATCATGAATAGAAACAATGTATAAATGGTAAACGGAATGAAGTGAAATCAAAATGACAAAGTTAGATTAACATGGTAGAGTTGTTTGTTGAGTGAGGGTTGTTCTCATTGAATATTTAATGCCTCCTTTATTTTGAGAAGATGAATTGATGGGGCGGAGTCGAGAATACGGAAACAGTCCGTATTATTATTATTATTTTCATAATTTTTATCAATATTAATTTTTTTCCTTGAATTTTAGAATGCAGAAAAAAATTACCTAAAAGCCATTCAACTGAGTCCAAGTGTAGCAAGTTACCATGGTAACCTTGGAGTACTCTACCATCGCTGGGAAAAGTATAGCCAAGCGGAAAAGTGTTATAAAACTGCCCTGGCTTTGGATCCATCTACACCAAATTTGGTAGAAAATTTACACAAGCTTGAAAACATACTTGCTAAGCAAGATAAACGACAGAAGCTATTGTCTTGATTATAGATTTATCTATAAACAAAACATTTCAATTTTTTTGATAACAACATTGAATGATACGTTTATCAAAGGGCAATCATATGGACTATGGCAATAATAAGATTCTACAAATTACATAAGTGCATTTTTAAAAATCCGGAAACTGATAAGATAATTTTATTGAAATTCTGTATGATAAATATCAGTATTATTGTTACTATAAAACTCCTAATTACAACTACTACCATTTACAAAATAAGTATCTTGTCTGCGTTCGAACATAACAAAACAATCAAGTTTGTGATGTAATTGTTTTTCCATGTTTTTAACAGAATGATCAGTGGATGTCTGAAAACTTGAAACATGAATGTTAATAACAGCAAAACAGATTTTAATTGAGGGAGAAAGTACAAAATGAAATGAATAATGGTGTGATTGATGTATATATTTGATTTTCCGAACAGCAGGGGTGTAAATGAAAGCTGTATTATCTGAAATATCAAAGTGAACCTGTATATTTTATGTGTACATAGAACAGATTATAAGTATTTTAAGAACATATTTTAAATTTTAATAAGTCTTTCCAAACGTTAGTCCATAAATGGTAGGCTAATGAAGAACATTAAAAAGACATTTTATACAAATTTATGAAATAATTATCATGAAATAACATTGAAGAATGAATATTCGTATGCAATAAATAGAAAAATGTTGAATTTAATACAGAAATGATCAAATTGTATATGTGTTGGGTTCTAGTTAAGTGTATTGCAAGCATGTTGTATTCAAAGAATATTTTAAATTTATCTCATTGATGTTAAAAGCACGTCTCTCATGCCTTTGAAATTATAATTTTATTACTTATTTGAGCCTGATATTAATGTCGGGGGCTTCACTAGCGTTCCAGGGGCATAGGACCCCCGTCGGGGGCCTCTAGACCCAAGCTGGGATTCCCCTGTCGGAGAATTTCCAGAAAGGTCATCGGGGAAAAATCAAATCTCGAGTGCCAAAAGTACAATTCAAGCATGCCTTACTAAGCTGTCAAAGTTTTAGGGATTAAAAACTGTTTGTGCGAGCAGTTTTACCGTATGTGCGAGGTGTTGTATTCTATTTTGATTGTATGGGTTGCAGTGGTGCGCCAGCTCTTCCTCGATAGGAGGTGGTACCTCCGACAGGGGATTATTACTCCGACGGGGACCAGTACTCCTGACATCGTTTTTAAATAAAGAAGAATCCCATAATTAACACAACATTTTATTAACTTTTAATAAAAGAAAATTCCTGACAAATTAAATTGGTGTGGACCCCTTTGTCATGGAGGTTGGACACCTTGTTGGGGAATTGCTGGCGCCGCCCCTAATTAATGTATAGTTATTGTTACAATGGATGTTTCCGGAGTGTTAATCGCACTTAAAAATGGACCAATGAGAACGGGGCCACGCACATGTTCAAGTACATTTATGGTGTTTTGTGGACCCTAGCAACAATATGCAAGGGGCAGGTCTTAGCTGAATGGTTCTTTAATTTTTACAGTACTTTAGTAACTTCCAGGCCTTCGGTGGCACCTTGTTTTACTCATTTGGGGGTGGGAAGTTGTGAAGAGAATGTAAGAGAGGCATCCAGGTCTGTCCCCTGGCTGGATCCAGGGGAATAACATTCATATGGGTCTAAGAGGACAATTCTCCTTCCCTTCACAAAAGTCAGATGTTAGGCCTTGGAAATTATGTTCAATTCAATAATTCAATAATGTTAACAGGTCTTCAAAAAATTGTGAAATTCCATTTTTGTGTTAAAATAATGCATGCTAGTATTCTATAAAAATATTTATTAATAAAATGTTGGGAAGGATATGAAAATATTTATTGTTTGTATTACAAATTGTTATATATAATGTTTGTGTGTGCTGCAATTAAGACAAATCATTGTACATTGCCCTTTAAAAGGGCAAAGCGAATTGTTAATGTTAACACATTGTAGTTATTTGTGTAAAAGTAGAGAAAAACTGAAATAATTATATATCAAATCATAAATGTAGAGGTTCATTTTGGGTAGGCTTAGCAGTTTCAGTGATTTTAAATACAGTAATAATGAATATGCCAGCAGTACTGCACATAGTAGGATGTGTATACAGCTGGGCACCAAATTGATTCCCGGTCGTAAATTCTTGATATTTTGGGGTTACTTCAGACTAGCCGGCAGCAAGCAAAGCAAGCCTCACTCTCTGTAGGGGCTAGCTTTGTTCGCTGGTTGCACCAATAAAATAGATTATGGTTTATGTATACAAATGGTATGCTCAGTGTGTCACAATGTCAAAATAGGACCTACTGTCTGCCTGTGGATGGCAGGACCAGGTCCGGGGAGAAAGGATTTAAGGTGTTTCCTTGTAAAATATTCTGGAGAATAGATTTAGCCATTCTAATAATTTATCTAAATAATTTCACAATTGGTTAACATTTTTTAGCTGCTGCTATGATCCGCCACTGATGAAGGTACCAACTACAGTAGATGTGGTTGGTATCCAACAACGTTGTTTATCTCCGTCACTTGTTCACTGTAATATTACAAGCATTGAAATTATCTTTGAAACATCCTAAAGTAATAATACTATATACAGTAGTATCTATATATATGTGACCTGTTTTGTGGTCTGAAACTGTCATGAACAATAAATCTGAAAACAAAAAAAGCACTTTGTTGCTAGTGGTTATTTAAGATGTGCCTCATTCATTTCAAACACTAATTAATCAAATACAGGAGTCCCAAGTAGGAAGAAGTCATTTCCTGGAGATCTACAGTGCATGATCCAGGAATTCAAAATAAAAGGGGGGGGGGGGGGGTGGGGGGGGGGCAGGGCAAGATTTTTCACAGATGTAGGGTAGGGCTACCACCTCAGCCCCATCATGGTTTGGGCCGAGGTAAGAAAATTTGTAATTATATCACTTCTATTTTTTCCGCAAAATGACAAATTTTATAATATTATTCTCTTTTTTTCTCATTTTTTTTTAAATAATTTGAAAGTATGTAGGGGTCCAGCCGGGGTCCCCTCTCTTTGAATCCTCCACTGATCCGCAGTGGTTAATGACTTTTAACACATTTATGTTTATTAAAGCACATGGTGATACCATCTGCACTGACTTTCATGAGAAATGTTGAAAACATGCAAATAATGATTATGATTTGCGGGAGATTCTTGCTTGTTTGCAGAAGTGCAGAAGTTTGCCCCTATTTCTTGGAGACTTGCGATCACTGAAAATAGCGTGAATGAAATTCTATATAATCTTACAAATTAATTTAATATTAATGTTACCATCAACTATTGTTGTACATCAGTTCAGATGCCAGAATCTACTACAAAATATAATGGAACATTTGTTTTACTAATATAGAATACATGATAGAATTTACAGTATGCAATTCAATTCTATATGCAATAGTTGGTAATAGTGCATTATGGTTATTATTAACATTGGTTAGAACTCTGCAATTTACCTTTCCTAGTACCATTGCAGCCCTAGTTCTAGTCTCTGTGGGGTTGTGTTGGTTTTCACATGAATTTTTTTTTTTACTTTATAATTTCAACATTAGTTCTCATTATGTCATTGTGGAAAACACCTGTTTACTTTTACATGCTCATAAACATTTCATAGTACTGTTCAAGAGAAAATTACTGTAAAAAAAATAGGCCTACTAAAAACAAATGAAAAAAAATCAAACCAATATATATTCTTTTAACTTTTTTATTTTTCAAGACAATATTATTGATATAATGATATATACAAACTGTACAACAGAGTCTAAGTCCGAATTTTTTACTCTTTTCCAATTGACTTTTATGAAAAAAGAAATTAAAAAAAAAAAAACTTTCAACAAAGAAAACACAAGTAAATAGCATTACAACCACACAGTACAGTACTGGGTTTCAGTTGCTTGTTAAATGGGTGTGACTGGTAAACTGGGTTTAACAGGTTTTATCAGAAGTCAATCGCATTCATCATGAGGGTTTTGTTTTCAATGACGTCCTTTAACCACCGACTTCTGAACCGCGACTGTCCTGGTTTGTGCACCAATCTGTTTGTTTCAAAGATGTAGTAAACGTCCACTGGAAAATGCTAGCAGAGTAAAAGGAAGGAAGGACTTTTAATAGATAATTAACAATCACAGAATTGGATAATGATGTTGATAGTATTTGATGATGTAGTGATGATGATGTAATGATGATGATGATACATTAGTAACGCTAATGATGTCCAAGATGCTGATATCACCAATGATGTACAATACTTTTTATTTTTAACATTAAAACATTGTGAATCTTGCCCTAACATTTTGTCTTATTCCTGGATAAAAAGTGTTCTGTTTTCTTTGTTATGAAGAAATTGACATGCCTGGTGGAATCTAGCAAATTTATTTATTTCGCTCAGCATGGTGGTACTCTTTGCCAGCTAACTTCTAGGAGTCAATTGCTAATTACAGTAGTAAAAATGTTCATACTGCAGGTATCATAAATGCAATGTGGTTAGTTTCTGGACAATTTTTTACTGCTTGCATGAGTGTGGTAGGTACCAATTTCAGGAGATTTCCATGACTCGCCGGAGACCTGCAGCCCCTGCTATTTTCATGGTTGGTACTGTATGCTATGTATAAATTAGGTGTATGGAAAAACATGTTGGCTGCAAAGCATTTATGCAATTACAAATACTACCTTTGGTTTCATTTTAGACACTTCAATGGTAAAGTAGACACATGCAGTTGCTCTTGGTATTGGCTTCCTGCGTGTCGGTATGCTCCACCGAACCTGATAACGATATTTTTTACTAAAATCATCCTCTTCCTCTCGTAAGAAGTCGATACAGTACAACCAGCTGTCTTCATAATCCCAAGTCTGAGTAAAAAATAAAAGGGAAAACGGTACATAAAAAAAAAATGTTTGAAATTAAAACATATGGTGTAGATCCCATTTGCAAAACCTAGTCCCACATAACCAAAAGTTAACCCCTGATGGTTTTATCAAGGTGTTAATCTTCTAATTACCTCCTGCTTATAGTAGATATATTAGATAAAAAAAATAATAGAAAGGCGCTTTAGAGATATACCGATAGGATTGGACTGAAATTCATTTGTCTCTCCTCTAATTTTTTTATTATAAATTCCTTTTTGTTGAATTTACCATGCCTTTGCATTGAGCATCACCATCCGGAACAAAGAAAGTTGAATAAATAAATAAGTATAAAAAAAAAATGAACAATGACACCTTGACAACCAACACCCTAGTATGGGTACAACAGTGGCCCTAGCTGGGAGTTGGTGTCCTAGCCTGAGCCAGCTCAAGTTGTGTATTATTATTAACCATACAGTATATACTTACTTGCACAAATTCATTAATCTTCTTCTCTCCTTCCTCAACACTAAATTCCTCAATAGTCATCCAAACTATATCTTTGATCTCGTAGTCTTCAGTTTCTCTGTAGAGCAGGGTGCTGTAACTCCTGATAGATGATAGAGGTCTCCCATCCTCATCTTCGTTGACTCCAATGTCTTTGAGGATTCGTTTCCTGGCATTGTCTATGACCCGGTCAACAAGTTCATGGGCCTGGTTCTCAAAGCCTTCACTATCACCATTTATATTCATCTTGTAAATACTTTTTTTTTAAATTTCAAATGTTGTGTTCAAAGTTACATTGACAGGAATCTAGGAAATAAAAATATTAATGTCTATTAGCATAACTTTATTTACAAAATCAATTTTACACCCTTAAAAGGACCTCAAGAAAATCGTTTCCATATCTTTGGAGAATGCAGTGTAATTGTTGTTATTTTGAGAATAGCAAAGAAAATGACTAATGAAAGTGTAATTTAAAAAAAATTTATTATATATCATAATATATATATATATTATTATTATTATTATGTTTTAAATTAAAATGTGTCAACGTGCAGTATAATTTTATGATGTTCTTATACTGTGCTACAGTATTATCAACTGATGGTTCATACATAATTTGTCACATTTGTAATATTGTATTTATAGTAAAAATAAAAAATAGATACATCTAATGACATTTTGTAAAAATACTAAAAAGGAATACTTGAAAATCAAATATTGAAATAAAGATTTGTTTAGTAGTAGTAGTAGGCCTTTATACATATTTAGTGAATTCTGTCTGAATGTGATATGGGATGAATTTTGTATTGTACTATTTCCATTCAACAAACAAGAAAAATTATGAAGTTAAAGATTAATTAAAGTCCAAATCCACACTCCACGTTGTTGTTATGTACAGAACGTAAGTTAGGCCTAAGTATTTTTCAGTATGACTACAGATACAGATATAAACAAACAAGTAAAAAGAAGTAGACCGGGGGTTGACAGTCTCCTTATTAATGGCCTTATGTTATTAGGGCCTAGGCCTGTGTAGCTCAGTTTAGGCGTTAGAAGGCTAGGCCATGCTAGGTAGAGTATGATGACTACTTCCTTAGTTAGGGGCGGCCTTGCTAGGCCTCTCTGTCTCTCTGCTGACTGAGTTAGGGCTCGAGTTAGTCAGGCCTAGCCTAGCCTAGCTTACTTACAGAACAGTGACACACACACATTCATAATTATATCGTACTATACTTACAAGTTACATATGTCTACTGTAGAAGGTTTTTATAATCAAAATATTTAACCTAAACCGGACCATTCGAATGAGACCGATCCCTTGTGTTGATTGTTAGTTTGTTGACAAAATACACCGGAAGTTGACAATTTCCATGGTTGCTTTACCCAAAAAGGAGTAATAATTTACTTTAAAATATAATAATTGTTTCTTCTGAATTGTTTATAAAAATAATTAAAACTACGTAATATAATCTATAAATATTTATTATTTATTTTATACTAAATATTTGTCTTAGTTTAATATATTTTTTTCTAATTATTTTAATGTTATTGGCCTAGGCTAGCCACTGGGCAAGTAAACATTGAACTTTCAACTCATCAGCTCAAAAGTCATGGCGGGTGAAAACGAAGAAAACATAACAACGAATGAAGAAAGTACTCGTCTAGACAAACTGCGTAATCGAGTAAAACAGTATATAGATAAGGTTCCTTCTTTTTGGTATTTTAATTACTTATGTAATATAATTATTAATATTTTATTCCAGTAAATGCCAACAATATAGAGTAGATCTTAGTCCTACAAGCCTAGGCCTAGGCCTATATGCTAGGCCTAGGGGCATAGAGGCTAAGGCCTAGACCAGGCCAGGCCACGACACTAGGCATAGGATAGGCGCCTAGCCTTAGTTTAGAGGCCTCGATCCCACCCAGGTCTGAGCCAGGCTTTAGTTAGGCACAGGATAGTCTTAGGCCCAGCCTATTCTAGAAGGAGGTGGAGATTGTCCTAGGCTAGGGTCTAGAAAGGCTACAGTAGACCACCACAAGCACATGTCGCAGCCCGACCTTTGCCGGGGAACAGGTAAAAATGGCAAAAATCCAAAACGGCAATAAGTCAAAATGGCAATGACCAAAACGTCAAAAAAAAAAACAAACCAAAACAGCAACACTTTAAGACCAGAACGGCAATGGACCAAAATGGCAATAAGTCAAAACCAGTTGACCATAAACTGTAGGCAACACAGTTAGTAATTGATTTACCAAATCAACAATAGTTTGCGTAAAAACGCCTTTTTTTAAATTAAAAGTAAGGATCCATGGGCGTTACCTTTAAAATCCCCCTCTTGATTTCGCACCTTATTAATGAACTTTAAAGTGCTGTTAACTTGTATTTACCTCTGTTTGATGGTTTTATTTTAACTGCTGTTACTAATTATAACAAAAAAAGTACAACTCATTTTAACGTACCATTCTGATTCAATATTTATTTTGGTATATCATCAGTTCAGTTCTCATCATCAAAACATTGTACAGAACAGATAAAATTCACACAAGGCAGGACAAAAAAATACTACAATAAAAAAGATGATGCAAGGATGGTCTATGAAAGTTTTTTTTAAGAAGTAAAACTTAATTCTAATGTGGCACTTCATAAAACGCAATTATAAACATGAAAGTGTACAATTATTATTACTAATAATAATAATATAATAATAATAATAATAATAATAATACTAATAGTATAACATACAAGTTCAATAGTAAAAAGATTGGGGGAATCACAATATAGAAGCAGTAAACATTTAAATAATTAAAACTTTAAAATACACACAAAATGAGGCTAAACAATTTATGTCATAAAAGTAAAAAAGCGCGAAAGAAAAAAAAAACACTTTTTTAAAGAATAACAACATTAATAATGATAATTAAAAAAAAAAAATAATAATAATAGTAATATTAACAACAACAGCAATACAACATACAAATTCAAAAGTAAGAAAGATTGGGGGAACACAATATATGTAATATATACAATATAAAACCAGTGAACATTTAAATAATTAAAACCTTAAAATACAGATATGAGGCTAATACGAAAGTAAAAAACAGAAAGAAAAAAATAATAATAATTGTAAAATTACAATTTTGCAAATGTAATTGCTGCATAATTGCATTATTGGTATATTAAGATTTGGTCAAAGCCTAATTTTTGTCAAAATGTGCTCAAGTCTTAAATCGGCCCTTATTTTTCCGAAATGCGCATACAGATTTCTAGGCCAAAGTTTTTGCGTGGACGAGATATTCCCTGCGTAGGCCTTACTTGACTTAAGTTACAGTCTGGATCTAGCCTGTTAAGGTAGCCAGACTGTTAAGGCCTGCACGGGGAATATATCTGCAAAAATTGGCCTAGAAATCTGTAATATTTCAGATTTTGCTAAAAAATTAGGTTTTGAACTAATCTTGATATATAAACAATGTATTATGCAGTAATTATGATTCTGCGCAGCTAATTTCCTAGTGATTTTCCTTGCAAATTTGAGCTGATTTTTTAAATGGTTGAAAGAAATAGTTGAAAAAATAAACAACAAATCAAAAATTTTCTTTATACAAAATTCAAGACAATAAAAGACAAGTAAAAGTATATTGTGAACTGTTCAAGTTATTAGTTCATGAACTCACTCCTCCTTAAACAATATTTAATCTGTATTTTGTAGTGTCAGAGATTTTCAGGCGTATAATTTACCTCAGCATTTTCCAGTATACCTGTACTTATGTAACCACTCCTAAAACACTACTAAGGAATAACCTTGCATTGTTGCAGTAAAAGGCATTGGCTTGTTCTGTCCTCCTTGACAATAGTGTGCCTATTAATAACCGGCACCATTTTTCTCTAGTCTCATGTTATTCACGATGCAAAGTTTCAGCACTAAATGTGATTCTCGGTAGAAATAAATGCTGTAGACCTGGTCGGACTTGTACTAATTTCTGGATAAGCAAGTTATAGTATAATTCATATAGTATTGTTTTTGAGACTGGTAAAAAGCAGGCCAGATCCCACTGAAACATAGATGACTACTTCCCTATGCTATGGTTTTTTTTTTTTTTTTTTTAAACCAGTTAATTTGTAATGTGATAATTTTATCTCTCCAGCACCAGTATGAAAGTGCTGTGTTTTGGGCCGATAAAGTGGTCACAATTTCAAAAGGTAAGTATGAAAAGTATTATATGGGTAGCTTTACTTTGAAAAATACCTAAGTTGGCAGAGGTTTAGTTAACTGGCTGTGTGTCTGCTTATAAAATATATGCTGCTGGCACTCTCAGGCCCATCTACAGTATCATTTCTTGCATGCCTTCCACAGTAAATTTGTATTCATTATTTTTTTTCATTGACTCTTGATATTATTTATTATTATTATTACAAAGCATTTCCAATGCGCCTTTTCAAAAGCGTTGTACATTAAAACATTTTTTACAAAGATAATAGCTAAAGTACATTGAAAAAGATGGCAAATATATAACTATGTTTTTTGTTTTTTTTTAAGTTTGCACACTGAGGACCAGGCAGATCTCAAAAGGGAGGATACTCCATAGTATATCAATGCACATTTCATGTGCTTTTTAATACCTGCAGACTTATACAGTACATACATAGCATTATTGCGCTGCTACAGAAGACATTACCATTTTGAATACCATTTTGCTTGCTACATGCAAAGCAAAAGTTGTGTCCTTACTTGGGAAGGGAACTATACAAAAGAATATGTTTTTGTACAATGAAAATTACATTATAAAATAATTGCTTTCCTATCACTGATAAGTGAGAAGAAATTCATCTTCTAATTTCAGATGCATTGGCAGATGTGTACATGCATGCTCAGGCATTGTACCTCACCAAGCAATACCACCGTGCTGCTCATGTACTGAAATCACGCGACCTACACAAGGTACGTTTTTAATGATAAAAGCCAGTTGAAATTTGAATAGATAATTTCCATCATGAACACATCATCACATTCTTTTCAGTTGCATTTAATGGTATTTTTGTTCAGTCGTTAATCACAGTAAAATTTAGAACACATGTGGTAATTTTTTGGTTGCTAGTTTGAGCCCCTGTGCTTGGCATGTTTTAGCACTGCATAATCACCATCATGTAGTGCGTTATTGGACTGCATGTTGTAATTTCAACTTGAAAGGAGAAAAAATAGCCTCATTATCATACTTTATTAGCTAGGTTTTTGTGCATTTTGAGGTGCAGAAAATTTGGCTTTAGAAATTGGTTCGGGTTGCCAAAGAATCATTTTTAGGTTGGTAACAATACATATTAATTATCCTAAAAAAACTCCCGAAAAAAGCCGCCTTAGGCGGCTTTCACGAGTGAAACTGTCGAAAAAGCCGCCTTAGGCGACTTTCACGAGTATGAGGGTACTGGGACAGATCCAGATACAGGTCTCCCTCCAATAAAAGACCCCTCCAATTAAGGATCACCTCCAATCAAAGACCACTATTCTGTGGTCCCAAATTAACAAATTACTTTTATCTTTATTATTGTAATGAGAGACAGTAAGCTGCTAAGGACCATGGAAACGTGGTCTTTAATTGGAGGGAGACCTGTGTTTGCAGAAGGAAAAGGGGCATGTGTAGATGACATAAGTGTGAACAACATGGGGAACAATCTGATCTTGTCACCTTCCCATCTTCTGAGAGTTATATAACTTAAAAGTAAAAAAAAATATTAGAATAGTTTGACAAATTAGTCTCATAAACTGAACCTCCCCCTCCCCACAAAAAAGCAGCTATTGGCTATTTACCAACTTTTTCTGTCCAATACAAAAGCATTCTAACATCTTAGGGTAGAGGTCCGGACATCGCCGACCCTTACCGTCTCTGGATCTGCTACAGGTGTATCATAATGTTTGATAATCAATCTGTGAAGACCATTTGGAAAAAAATGCAATATGTTCATAATATAATATTTTTTTAATTAAATTTTAAAAAGACCTTTGCATATGAATTACCTTTTAAGTAAAGAACTATTGTGAGCCAATAATTTTGTTGTTTATAAAGTTGACTAAAGCAAACAGTCAGGTTACGTAAGATACTAATAATTAAAATATTATAAACTGGATTATACAGAAAATGCTAAAATGTTAAAGCTGTTGACATTCGTCACATATTGACATACATACTTTAAAATGGTCACTTTATAATGTATATTCTGCAGAGTTCTCACCACGCTGGTCGGCGGTGGTCGGGACCGTCTAGCACTCAACATTCCCAACCAGTATTTTTAGGTTTCCGACCACCACTATTTTTGCAATTGATCATGGTAAAAAAACGTAGGCTAACAAAATACTTTCGTTATACACGACTACTAGAGTAGGGAATTGAGGTTTGTTGTTGGTAAATAGGTGTTAAATTATAATTACTGTTTGTTAATAAAACGTAATCTAAGTTGGAATGTATTTCAGTCATTAAATATATTACTGAATCACTGTGTTAACTTTTCAAAAACAGTGATAGGAGTTGGAAATATACCTAATTGTTTTCTTTTCACTCTACGTGCGTCATGAAAACATACAACTTGAGCAACACTGTTTATTCCCACTCTCTGCATCCACCCCAACCCGTCAGTACAGCATGGTCTTTCTCTCTAATCGACTGTCAATGTTGTTTTGGTTAGTGACGATGTGGGAAAATATGTTTGAATATAATATTAACAATACTGTATTTGTTTTTACTTACTTTATTTATGATGATTAAATATCTTACAAAAAATTACACACATATTATTCTATGCAATATGACAGACATTACTACATTCTCTGTAGAGTGGATCACGTGGTCTTTGTACAACGTGGTCTTTTTCCTCGATGCTCTTCACTCTCGATCAGGGCTCGAACCGACTAAAACGGTTTGGACGTTTCTGTTGTTAATTACGACGTGGGAAATGCATTTGAATATAATTAAAATTGTAATTAACTTTGTTTATGACTGAAAATCGTACAAAAATACATGTTTTTAGGCCTAGAAGAATATCTTTTTGATTTCGTGGTTAATGGATGTATTTAGCATGGAAGTTCCACGTTGAGGCGTAGGCCTGGATAATTTGACAAGTGTGGTCTTTCAAATACATGAGTAAAGTCGTAGAGCAAAATGAATACACATATTTCAGCTCATAATATCACTTTTATTTGAAAAGTTTCACAGTGATTTAATAATTAATTTATGATTGAAGTATAATGCTAATGTACCAAGTCAAATATGTTTAATAAAAAAAAAAATTGTAATTAAACAGCTATTAACGAATGTCAAACTTCATGGTTCAATCTTTTTGAGTCCTAACTGTTTACAAAATACATGCTTACCAATTCAGGGATTCCACCATTTTCGTTGATTTGCCGTCGATCGATCTGTGCATTGTTCAGTGATCAGTAGAACTTCCTTAGTTTTCACAAATATTTGTTTTGATCTGATTTTGATGTAGCGTGAGAAGTCCTTGTCCAATATTATAGATTTGAAGTTTTTACGTTAATGCAATACACAATTATAGAATGTATTGTCTATGAAAGTCACTGTTGTAACAAGTGTTCAAATGTTTGCAAATCGAAAACAAATTGGTTTGTACCAGCTGCTTTTAACAATGTATGTTTATTTATGTTTGTATTATTTTATTCAGGCCTGATTTATGATGTCGGTCTAAACACAAATCACTGAGAAACAAATTAATTTTCCAAACAAGTGTTCAAATGTTTGCAAATCGAAATCAAATTGGTTTCTACCAGGTGCTGTTAACAATGTGTGTTTATTTATGTTTGTATTATTTTATTTAGGCCTGATTTATGTTGTAGGCACTACACACAAATCACTGAGAAAAAAATTGATTTTCCCAAACTGCTATTCAGAAAATCTATTTTATTAAAATGCTTAAATTTACATATTCAGTTCATTTTGGCGTAATGTGCTTGAATATTTCAACGTATGGCACCACAAGCAACACACTGATTCACACACGTACTGCTGAGGTTCAATGAACTTGTAAATAGCGATACTTCAATTTAATACATTGAGTAGAATCCCTATTAAGGGGATACCTTTGGGACCAAAAGGAAAGTGTCCACTGAATAAGGGTTGGCCAGTGTTAAAAGATATACTTTCCCTAGTTTTTGTGGCCAAAAAAAAGTGTCTCCTTAATAGGGGTGTCCCAAAGGAGGGTTTCAACTCTATGTTTATAAATTGAAGGAACGGTATTTGCACCGACCGATTAGGCCTACGGATAAATTACTCAGAGCTGTGTAGCTAATTTTGTTATACTTTTTAGATGTTTTCTATCAGAAGCTTGGTTTCCTCTTCCTTTGCCGGAAAATCTATGATCCTGAGCACCTTTTACTGCTCTACAAGACTCAAATCTGCCCCTAGCTGGAGTACTGCTTCTATATTTGTGGTGGTGCCCCTTCGTCTGTTGTCACTGTTCTTGACAAGGAGCAGTCCAAAGCAGTTAGGCTTATTGGGGATGAATATCTCACTTACTCCATTCAAACACTTGCTCATCATTGTGTTGCTGCTCTTTCCATTTTCTACCGTAACTTCTTTCAACTTTGGAAAATGCTCGGAAGAGCTCAAATCTATCATGCCTCTCTCCCTGCTCATGTAACCCGGTCGACTCATACTAGCCATCAGTACTGTACATTATTTTTACTCCCTCTGTTCGCACTGTCTTCCACTCTCTCTCTCCTTCATCATCCAAACCTCTATTCTCTGGAATTCTCTTTTTCCTTCTTGATTCCCTTCATCCCTTTAACCTAAAGATTATTCAAATCTCTTATTAACAAACTCCCTCTAACCTCTCTAGCCTAGTTCTCATCGCTTTTTTGCAGGGTCTTGTTATAGGTTTACCTTTGTCCTCCATCATCAAATTAAAAAAAATATCATTTTTTTGCGATATTTTAATGGGCAGAAATAGGAACTCAAAATGTGCCAATAATGGTAAGACATTTAAAAGGATGGTGCTACATATATCGGCAAGAACTGTGCATGCGTGCGTCTGGACGGTAAATCGTCACAAACATTTTGTCATTACTCAAATTAGTATATGATGATAGTTGTGTAATGTAGTAAAAAGCATAATTATTAATTAATATTAATATTTTGTCTCAATATTTGATATCAATTCTATTTCAGTGTGAGGCTGCATGCAAATTCCTAGTAGCCAAGTGTCATGTAAGTATTCATGTACATGCTTGAGGGTGGAGGGAGGGGGGATGTGATGTGTGAGGAGGGCATGTGTCACCAACATTTGTATTTTTGAAAGTTAACAAATAATATAGCTAAATCAAGTGGTTTTTCCAAAGTTTTGATTCAGATTTTGAGGTTAAGGACAGCAGTGCCACCAACATTTGTAACTGGAAGTTTTGTTTAAAAAGAAAATAGCTAAATCCAGATATTTGTGATTCCAAATTTTTTGTCATTGAATTGTCAGAGTATAACCATTCCCAATTTTAAGTGGATTTCTTAGCCAGCTCCTGAGTTTGAACTCGGTATGGTGTTCGTATTGCATTTTTCTTCTTAATTTACAATTCATTATTTTGTTTTCATTGTTGTTCCTCAGGTTGAGGTGAAAGAATTTCAAGAAGCCTTGGATATTTTAGAAGGGGCTGATGAAGTCTGGAAAACACCAAACCGAGGTGTTGTAACTTCCAATAAGACAATCTACACCAGTCAACTTCAAGTTACTAATGTAAGTTATTGCTTAAAATGAACAAATATTTTGCTTTCCAATTACAAATAGGACTTTTTAAACCAAATATTACCATAACAACATTCTTAACTATACACTTTTAGCATTGCAGCGTAATTAAACAGTGACAAGCGCTCACACAGTGTGATGCAAGTATATTTATCAGCCAACCACCAGTTGATGATTTTTGAACCATAAAACATCATAAAAAAAAAAGTTTGCAGTGATTAATGCATTCTATCCTGGTCAATTTGGTAACAAACATCATTGAAATTATTTTGTGTATTCTATGTTATGTGTCTTTCAAGTATTAGTTTGTGTAACCTTTCTTGCTTACTATCTTTGTCTATGTTTTATTGATTGTTGGCGACCAAATGCCATGGAATGCCAACCTTTCCTTACCTTTGCCATTCTCAACAGATTGATGTTGCTGTATCTACACCAGTCCAGGCTGCAATACCGTAAAGAAAGTTGTCCTCTGGCGCCCTCTATCTCTCCTTCCATTAATCTTGCCTGTGAGAAATAAACATTCCACCCCCTCTCCTTCCTCATGCAATGCCCTAAAAAGTGATGTTGCAGTTTCTTGATCTTCAAGAAGCATCTGTTAGTTACTATAATACACTATATATTTATATTAATTTAAAAAAAAAATTTGAAACACTGTTTAACCTTTAATAAAAAAATATACAATTAATTGATGGTGCTTAGAGGTCTTGTTTATTTGCACCTTATGAATCAACCTATTATTATTATTATTATTATTATTATTGTTATTATTATCATTATTATTATTATTATTGTTTTTATTATTGTTATTATTATTATTGTTATTATTATTATACTGTATATGATTGAATTAATTAGTCAATGAGTGCATTCATATTTTTATACTAATGTAACATATAACTTTGAAACACATTTAAATATAAATTAATAATTGACCATTTTTACGGGTATATGTTTTGGGTCTGATTTGTGAATTAGGTTTGGGGTATTTGTTAGGTTCCTTGATGTATAATTAATATTTAGTGTGTACAGTGGTATGTGTAAGTTACATGCTTGTATTGTGTATGGATGTCAGTAGGAGTTAGTGAGTTGGCAGTAATAGTTTTTAATTTTTAACAGCTCTTGTCTCTTTGCAGCCCTCTGCTTTCATTTTTAATGTTTGTTCTGCTGAAAATATAAATAAAATAAAAAGTCCTGAAGAATCAATGATTAAATGAGTCAATGAGTAAGTAATGAATGAATGACTTAGTGAGTGAATAAGTGAATGAATAAAGTTAAATTAGCTTTTCTATTATTGTGTTTTTACACCTTCTAGGTTGGTAGCAGTATTAACCTTCTAAAAGGCAAGATCTTTGAATCATTGGAGAATCGATTACAGGCAACTGAGCATTACCGCGAGGCCCTCAAGCAGGATGTTTATTGCTACGAGGCATTTGAATTGCTTGTAAAACACCAGATGTTATCTTGTGAAGAAGGTAAACAACAGTTTCCAAAGGCAGTTGATTAATAATCAGAAACCCAACAAAAATTTATAGAAAGATTCATGTACATCTAGCAAAAGAAGGCCTTGAAGGATTATTCTAAATCATGGAGAGAATAATTAAATTACCGTATTTATTTGAATAATTGCCTCAAGGGTTTTTGAGGGGGCGTTTAATCAGTGGAGGCTTTTTTTTTTTTTTTTTTTGGAACTACAACAAATTATTACTGCCAAAATGTGTTGTCGCATGATCATAAAGACTTTGATCCCAATCAGGTTAGAAATAATATAATTCTACTTGAGTAGAACATTAATAAAATGTGTTAAGAATGATGTTACTTCCATTAGATTTAGTGGGGCGTTTATTCGAGGGAGGGAGTTATTCCAAATGAAGTTGTAGAGGGGGCATTTATTTGAGGGGGATTGATGTTTATTCAAAGCGGGGCATTTATTCAAATAAATCTGGTAACTTCCTTTGCAAGCTCCCAGCAATTAAATAACTTAAAAATTACTGTTTTTGTTTTTTTGTTTTGTTTTTCTTTTTTATTGGGTTTTCCCCCTGGTTGTCGACATTTTTACTTATTATTTTTTTTCTCATACAAAATAATTTTTATTGTATCTTAATTTGACATTACTCTAGATATACTGATACTGCCGATAATTCTTAAATAGTCATAAAGAAGAGGCATTTTATGAAAATTGCTTTCCTTGGCATGACATCTTTAAATATTTATATATATTTAAAAAAAAACTAAACCCCCATCCTTTATAAATGAAATGTTGGAGTATCTCTTTGCCTTTAATTTGTGAGCTTTGTTATGTTTTTTTTAATACGTTTTCTGTGTAGTAAAAACAACAGAAAATGTTGTCTATTTTTGTACAATTTTGAATTTCTACAACACAGAGTTTCATCTATTTATTCTATACTGGATCGACATGGAATGCACTGATTAGAGCTTGTCAACAGTTAGGAAGAGTTCAGAAAATGAAATATCTTATGCAATAAATGTAATTATAAAAGTTGAACAAGGATGGAAATAAGGAATGAATATGGAAGTTTGTATATTATTGCCTGGCATTTATGGGGTGCATAAAATGTGACTGTTAGATGTTCGTTTGATTTCAGAGCGACAGCTGATTGACAGTTTGCCATTTAATTCACAGTGCAGCGATGAGGAAGCTGCCATCGTGAGGGCAGTGTACATGAGTATTTTAAAGAAGGTGAGGATAATAGAGGAAAAAATTTACACTTTACATTTATTACTAACTACCATCCATTTTAAACAACTTATTTTTTATATAGGCCAATAACATACTGATTTAACAGAGAAAAATCACACCATTTTTTTATTTATTTCAACAATATTTTGTGAGGGTGGTCCATCCAGCCTGAGCTGATCAATTGGGACCCTCAGTACATACAATTATAACATAAGTATAAAAATTAAACTTGATCTTTAACATAAGCAAATTAATTAAATTAAACCAGGAAAAAATTAATAATAATAATAAAAATCAGGAAAAAAAAATATGGGCCTACAGTATATAAATTATATATAATAATGATTTAAGGAAAACATTAAAATTAAAAAAAATTTAAATTAAAAAAAAATTGACATATTGGACAGAATAATAATTGAAATAAAAAATAAATCAAAAGAATTAATGAGAAGATATTTAATTGAACTAACAAAAATAGAAAAATTATAAAAGATTATAAAAGATAAATAATTTACAATTTAAAACAGAACAAAATCATGATTAAAAATATTGCAACAAAAAGAGATGGCCACAGGGAAAATTACACAAGATTGGATGAAAGATAGCTAAGAAGGTTGAGTTTGAAAGAAGAGAAAGAGAAAGTAGAACAGACAATCGGTGGAAGAGAGTTGTAGATGTAAGGAGCATTATAGCTGAATGAAGTTTTAAAGATTTCTAGATTAGGCATAGGAATTAGAAGATCACCTTTAGTGATTTTTCTTGTGGTCATACGGCCATTGGCAACAATCTTTTTAAGGCATTGACAAAGAGTTTGTGGAGCAAGGTTATGAAGAGCTTTGTAAGTTAAACAGCAAAGTTGAAATTGAAATCGGAGTTGAAGGGGAAGGGTATTAGCTGATCTGAAATGAGTGGGAGTAAGGTGAGTGGTAGGAGGAAGTTTCAGTAAGATACGAATGGCTCTGTTCTGGATCTTCTGAACTTTAGATAATGAGGTAGATTTTGATCCCCAAACTGAGCAACAATAGTCAAGGCGAGAGAGAAACAAAGAATTGTAAAGTATTTGAAGGGTAGAATCATTAGTAAATTGTGAGGTTCGTGCAAGATGATAGACAATAGAGTTAAGTTTCTTACAAAGAGAAGATGTGTGAGACTTCCATGTTAGAGTGTTATCAATAATTACGCCTAAGTGTTTGTGGGACGTAACGGATAGAATTTTATGGTTATCAAGATGAAGATTAAGATTGTTATTAGCGGATTTTAGTTTGTGCGGAGAACCAAGTAGCATAGATTTAGTTTTTTGAATGTTAAGAGTTAACTTGTTAGATTTTAACCATGAAGATAGAAGATGAAGGGTAGAGTTTA